CATACCGTTAATGCTGCGATAAGCTGCCTCTGATATGAATGTAATGATCTTGGTTAACATACACGTTTTTGTAAAACATAAAAATTTAAATTGCATTACTTTTTTCTTTTCAAGGGCTACCTGGATTCATGTCAAAGTGTGAAGTATCTACAACCTGACTGACTGAGTGTAAGACTTGTGTCTGAGTGTTTTACCCTGTTTTTTCTGCACCTCTCTTACAAAAAACACAGCGCTGTGATGAGGAACATGTGGTATAGGCTCTGTTTTAACCATCTAAATAATTACCCCCAATAAATAACTCTGGACCATCGCAGGATTATCTTTCCCAGGGGTCTCCTTTGAAACTAAATATCTGGCCAACTCTGGTCTAGCTGTATGTACCATTGTGTGTTTTTATTCAGTATATAACATTACAAACTGCCAACTCCTACTCTCTCCTATTTTTTACTCTATTTAATATACAAATCACTACTATACTTTCTATGTACCATTTTGTGTTTTATTCATCTGACACTACATAATGATGGTGTCTTTTTAAAAACCAGCTGTTTCACACATTAACTCAGACCTAACCAACGCTTCTGACTGGTTAACCTTTCACCTTTCACTAGAACTGTCAAATCGAGTTTGATGAAAACCGGTATCTATACTGTGTGTCAGGTCATAGTAAACTGAAAAAAACCTTAGAAAAAAAATCAATCTAAGTCCAGTTAATTTTTTCTAAGGTTTTTTCAATTTGTTTTGGAACAAATCCTGGTTAATGTATGTGGAATTTGCCTATTAGATGTGTAATATTCATAATGTAAGACAGATTTATTGGTCTGTAGCCATAATGGTGAGACTGTGCTATGTTTGATTAACGATAAACTTCTCTGTTTTTCCAGAAACACAAATGAAGACGGGAAATTGCAAAAAACAAGGCTATGCATTTGTCTCTGGTTCAAAAGGTGCACTTATCATTGATATCAGTGAATGCAGAATTTTCTTAATTCTGTTTGACATGTGTACACTATACTGTAAGTGATATTAAACTAGTACTCTGAGCAGTATTGAGGTATTTGGCCATGGACATGGGAAGTGGGGGTGCTGAGGGGGCCGTGTTGTGATTCATTTAAGATTAACAGACAACTGACTGGATCCTAGAGCAGCTGCCATCTTCACTGCTGGTCACTGAGAACAGAGTTACAGCAGTGTGCGCTGGCAGTTTATAAGAGATGATTCCTGTGTGTATGTACTTTCTGAGCCTCACTACCAGACTAAAGAGCGAGTGGCCATATTTACTGGGCCTGAGCCTTGTATGTATTTACATTTTTACCTTCAGTAGACTTATGAAAAATCATGTCAGTTTTACAGGGGTAAACTTTTTTTTTGAGGGCCAGACTTAGCCCCAAGGTGGCTATTTGCCTCCCACAGATGTACAGTCTGTAAAGCCTTTCCCAGTGCAGCACCAAGAGTTTCCCAGCAGGTGTCAACATGTTTACTGTCTCCAGTGCTTTGGAGTCATTGTCAGCACAGTCGCCCCACAAAGATTAGTGATCACTGGTAACAAAACAACCTGGCAGCAGTAGCTGGACATTTACTGAAAGACTCTTTGTTCAACATGTTTGCACACAGGGGCTTCATCAGGGGGTGTTACATGTGTACACTATACTGTAAGTGATATTAAACTAGTACTGTAAGCCATGTGTGTTTTAGGAGAGTGTGCAGAAGCTGCAGAACCAGATCTTCCATATGTGGCGTCATTACAACTTTGCCCGCATGAGGAAAGGGAAGGATCACTACCTCCTCCTGTCCAACCTCAACTACATCACCTGGTGGTCGGCGACCCAAAGCCTCGTCATCCTCCTGTCGGGGTATCTGCAGCTCGTCCTCCTTAAAAGACTCTTCCACACAGACCCCAGCAGGCCCAGATGCTGAGAGCAGGACATCCACGTGTCTGGAGTGCTGCTTTAAACCCCACACCATCTGTTTTCTCTTATCAGATGATTATTGATACACTGATACAAACAATAAAGATCTTGTACGCTATCTGAAGCCAGCAACTAAAGCAGATGTGTTACAGACATCTACAGGTCTTTAATAATGTAGTCTGCACTGTGGCTGTTTTGGGTAAAGAAATATTAGCCAATATTAGACAACTCACCCAAACCAGTCGAGGCAGGACTTGCTTCCTGTTTGAGGCTTTTATTTTGGTTAGTTTCCCGTTTTCTGTCATCTCACCTGCCCCGGCTTTACTCCGATCTACAATCACCACTGGTGTTCACCTGTCCCTCGTTTTCCTCTGGTCTCTTGTGTATTTCCTTTTTCCCTCAGTCTGGTTGCTAGCTCATCTGTTCTTTCCTCGTTGCCCCATCATCCGTCTCTCTGCGTACCACAACCTGTCTGTCTGTTTTGTCCACTTTGTAGGTTTTTGTATCAGCTGCCTTGGTTACTTTTGGACTATTCTTTTGAGTTATTCCTGTCAGCAGGATTCTTGATTAGTGCTCTGGGTTTGTTCTAGTTGTTTAGAATTTGTTTCATGTAGCTCCCTGACTGTTCTGTTTAGAAATGAGTTTTGTACCGTATTGTGAAGTCCTGTCAGGTTGAACATATGTTTGCCCCTTTGTTCCTCTTCTTTTATGTTGAACTGAATAAACACTAGACTCTAGACTGTGTCTGTATTTTGGGTCCTTCCCTGCCCGAAAACTAACAAATTTATATTCTGAAACTTCCACCCCTTACGGCAGCTTCTACTGCCTTCTAGGTAAATACATCTTTTTGTTTTGATTATGTATAAAGCAAAGTCCTTAGCTGACAGCTCTCTGTCTCCTCTTGTTGACTCTGTGAGCAGGTTCATCTGCTGTGGATTCAGCATTTTGATCAGCAGAGAAAAGAGTCTTTTCTTTTGACTAGTACTGTAGAACAAGCTATAGTGTAATGTAGGTCAGTGGGTTTGCTAAAGAGAAACGTTTCATAGAGTCACATCCTGAGATCTGATCCATTATTGGGTGAAGACAAACACAAAGATGAAGGAAAGTTATTTTGTCCAGGGCAAGAAATACTAGAGAAAAGCTTCTGTACATGAGTCTAAGCTCGAGATTTGTAGACAAGAAATCAATAAATATTGTCCAGGAAACTACACAGATTGATATGACTGTCAGGACCAAGTCTCCAAAGCAGCGCCGCGTCTCCTCTGTCGGTGAGAGGAAACACCCACCTTTCAAACCAGATCCCCTCACTGCATCCAACCCACTGTGTCACCAGTGTTACCAGTATGAAATGTTAGGCTGGAGCTCTGCCACATATTAAAGTTCAGCTGTTGAGAAGTTTTCAGTGTCAGTCTTGAGGAAAAATGTGTGAATCGTGATGCTGTCAACAGTTTGACCTGATTGAACTCTGTTCATAAGGTACCAATAGTGTCATACAGCAGAGTCAGGCTGACATTACTGTAGCCTAGGAGCATAACACTCCTCACTAGTGTGTAACACTAAATCACTCTGAACCACTTACTGCCATAAGTCAGCACTTTCAATTTCACTTCCTGTTTAGAGTGACTTCTCTTGGACGTTGGACTCAAACTGCAGGTCTGTTCCTGAGGAAACAGTTAGCTGGTTTGTTTGTCCATGAGACTCAGTTCAGGGCTGTGGCTGAATGCTCTGATAGACAGATGGATAGATAAGAGACACTTTATTGATCCTAAGGGAAATTTCAGGCATCCAGCAGCTTACAAACAACACAGAACACACAGAACCAAAGATATACTGCAGCCGGGGAGCTACTGGTTCAGGCACATGCCGAACCAGTTAGCAAGGATATAATACAAGAAAGAAGAACAAGGAGACTCAGAACATCAGTGGTAAAGTGGATAAAGCACCGCTGAAAGCACCCTCAGCAGTAGTGTAGTGCAGAAAGAGAGTCACAGTGACTCATAATGCATAGCAGGAACGAGGTAAAGCAAGATGGATATATTAATATAGAGGTGACCTGATCAGAAAGAGATAAGCAGAACCAGTAAACAACACTATGTAGACCAGACAGAGGCAGTCAAACCTGTCATAGCACTGGTTGAACTCATTCACTCTCTCCACGTCCTCATCACTTGTGCTGCTGTCCTCCTTACAGCCCATGATGCTGTTCTACACCTCCCTCTGTGTTACTCAGCTCTTCTTTGTATCATCTTTAAAGGCCCTCTTCTTCATTGTAGCTCAGCGGCAAGAAAAAAAACGATTTGGAAAGACCTAGCTTTCTACATTATTTGGTCATAAAATGTGATCTGGTTATCATCCAAGTCACAAGTGCAGACAAACAGTGATAATGTCTTATTGAACCCAGCCATTAAAAATTCACAGTGCTGGTGGAAACAGTCAGTGAACCCTTGAATTTAATAACGGGGTGAGGCTCTTTTGGCAGCATTAACCTCAGACCGGCTATTCCTGTAGTGCTGGATCAGACATGCACAATGTTCAGGAGGAACTCTCGACCAAACCTCCTCACAGAGCCGCTTCAGCTCTGACAGATTCCCAGGATGTCCGGTGTGAACAGCTCTCTGGGCTCAGTCCACAGCAGCTCTGCTGGGTCTATGTCTGTGCTCTGACTGGGACACTCCGCATGGCAGATCTTCTTGTTTTGAAGCCATTCTGTCATAGATTTAGTTCAGCGTTTAGGGTCAGTATCCTGCTGCGTCACCCAGCTTCTACTGAGCCTCAGCTGGTGGACAGCCACCTTGACATCCTGTAGGATTCCCTGATAAACCTGGGAATTCATGTTCCCTTCCACGATGGCGGCTGTCCAGGCCCAGGAGCAGCCCCACATCATGCTCCCTTCACACATTTTATGACCAAATAATGCAGCAAACCAGGTGATTCCAAATGGTTCTCTTACTTTTTCTTACCACTGTAAGTCAGACTTGTCCATTTGTGTTTGACTGAGTTTGGTTAACTGTGGCGCACCTAAAGTGGAATTACTTTGCATTCAGCTCATATAAGCTGGCTTTCTCTCTCCATCTCTACAGCTGATCATGGACTTCATAGATCCCATCCTGTCCATTGCCTCACAGATTTACACCCTGGTTGAGAATGTGCAGGCCAACAAGAAGCGCTGCCGCCGTGTTTCTGACAGAGTCAGGGCCCTGGAGGAGCTGGTGAAGTCCATCGAAAAGAGGAAGACAGTTGAGACCTCTGGCAATGTAACAAAAGCCCTCAAAGAACTGTACCACACTCTGGAAGCAGCACAGAAGCTTGTCAAGAAATACACCTTGGCCACTTGGGTGAAGCGCATCCTGAAGTCCAGCAGCCACGAAGACGAGTTCAACATTGTGAACGAACGGCTCAACAATGCCTTTCAGGTGCTGTCTGGAGCTCTGCAGCTGGAGCAGGGGAATGTGCTGTGCAAGGTGTTTGCTCTGGCCTCCAGAGAGGAGGAGGACAAGATGGACGGGAAGGAGGACGACGCAGAGCTGGGGAAATGTGAGGGGAACTGATCTTGGCTTTGCCTCTGTGGTGTAGATTTAACAAAAATTGTATGACCTGATTGTGTCAGTTCATGTAGGAACTGATCCTGTAGATAGAGAGACAGATACTTTATTGATCCTGAGGGAAATGCAGGTGGCTTGTGACTTTAATCTCAAAAATCTGAGAGAATCTGAGTTTGAAATTTAGCAGCCTATTTAAATGAACTTAACACAGAAATGATGCACTAAATTATTTGCACTGTTTAAAATTAAAATGCATAAACTCTGGTAAAGCTTAAGCTCCCTGATCACTGCAGGATCTTATTAGGAACATTTATGACCTGTTGAACAAAACAGCCTCATGACTAGAGCATTTATCAGTTTTTAGTTTGTGACTGAACTCCAAGCCACAAAAGTTAAAAATGTTTTGATCCAAGCTGGATCTCTATCAGGTCTTTAAAAGTCAGGCTTGGACTTAGGTTGTCCATCTGGAGTCAGTATGCAGACGTTACCTTTTCACAAACGCAGCTCGTACAAAGAGCCTCGTAGCCACCTGCACCTCATGCGTATAGTGTACTGCTTCAGAAGTATTCACTAAACTGACACCCTGATCTCACGGCAAATCAGAGCCCAGGGGTTTAACATGCAGAGTCTGGTTGCTGCTGTTGTGTCATCAGTGTGTGTTTGTTCCTCAGTGCTCCTGGAGCACATAAAGGACCAGGAGGAGAAAACAAAAGCCATGCAGAGAACGTTCGATGAGCTCAAAACCAGTGTGGAAATGGTCATAGAGAAATGTGAGTTCACCAAAACACAAACTTCTGCATCAGTATAACTTTCAGTGCTGCTGCCTCCAACAGTGAATTCTCTCCATTTCTCCTGAGTGCATCTGCTTCAGGTTGTAGTGGATAAAAACAAAGAAGTTACAAGTAATATGTAAGAGGTAATAGAGTACCATAGGAGTGGGTAGATTACACACAGACAGTACATTTGTAGCTAGGCCTTAGTGAGTTAAAAGATGCTTACATAACTTGGGCATAACTTCAGCCTTGTGTAAACTGTTTAAATGTCTTAGAAAGGGAGAGACTTGCTGGGTCAGTGCAACCTAGAAGTTCATATTCTGGCCATCTCATCCTGGAAGAAGGGACGTAATGCTGACGTAAAACTGTGAATCTGGCTTAAACAACAGGATGGGAGTGTACTGGAAGCGAGCAGATGTTGCTCTTGTGTGTCTTAGTTTAAAAAGTAGTGTGTTGGGCTATATTTAATTAATTTAGTTAATGCAGTTTAGCATCATAAGACTGGCTGAGACTGACACTTTGTGATTAATTATATTCACAGTGAATAAACCCAGCATCACTAGTGAGGGCATTCGAATGATCAAACTAGAGGAACTGAAGAACAGAAGGCCCTTTATGAAGACACCAACTTCAGAGGTCTTCAAAGGGCAGTATCATGGGTTTACAGTGGCCATCAAGAGATACACGGGCCTTGTCAACACCAGTCCAAGGTCTGTGCAGCACCACGGGACCACAGTGAATTCACATACAGGAAAGTGGCCCTTTTTGATTAAAATAATACCAGTGTAATGTTTTATTACCATCATCAGTTCTGCCTGTTTAAAGCTGGATTTTTTTTTACATAAGCTCCAACTGTCTGTTCTCCTGGAACCTTATTGTTTTCTGTCTATATTTTTATTTTATTTTTGGTAGCTCCTGAAGCTACTGAAGCTCTAAGAATAGACAGAATAGACAATCATAAAGCCCTAAACTTTAGCCCTTGACTTGAACTAAACTGGTGCCTTATTAAATAACAGTTTAATGCAGCATTAAAACAGTTATTGTAACCCACATGCTGGTGAAGCTAAAAGAAAACCACCATACTGCAACACAGATGCATTGATTACTATAAAGATTTTAAGGGATAGGTTCACAGTTTTTCAACTCTGTTCTAAAACAACAGTCAGGCGCCTGTCTGAACACGAAAACTGCAAAACATTTCTGAACATTACCTAATGTGACACTGACTCTGGTTCAGCTGCTGGTTTCAGACAGCTCCATTCTCTCACGTTCCACTTTATACTCTAGTCTGACATTTTAGTGAATGAAACTTTACTACAAAGTGGAACTGGGATTTTTGGGACGCTGATTATGCAAAATCTCACGAACATGCAGCTTCACACGATCAGGTGGTTTTTACAACAAATTTGTGCAGCAAAGAAGATCTGGTGACTCTGACAAGATGAGACATGAAATGAGACATGTTGTAACTGTCACATATTCCCTGTCAACCTAAACATGTTTCTGTTATGTAGGGAGGTGCGAAACATTTTCACAAAGGAAGTTGAAACCATGAAGCGGTTTGAGTCGCCCAACATCCTGCGAATGTTTGGCATCTGTATCCAGGATGAAGACGGTGAGTGAGCTTCAGGAGGTAACGGAGCATCGGCCACACAGCACCTTTAAAATTCTAGTAATGTGAGGTGTCCTTGTCACTGTCTGCAGGACCCAGCCCCGAATTCCTCATTATCATGGAGTACTGTGAGAAGGGGAGTCTCCGACAGGTTTTGGACTCTGACTGCAAACTGTCCTGGCTCAAGAAAGCTTGTATGTGTCTGGACGCAGCACAAGGACTCTACCGGTCAGTCATATGGTTACTTGACAAATTTATATGTGTAAGAAATGATAGAAACATGGGAAGAAGAGAGGAAAAGCCTCGTTATACAGGTGTGATTAAAAAAGTAAAATGCCATTTTGAATGTGACATTTTATAGGATTATTTGTGCTCATGTGCCATTTTCATCTGTTTAGCTGCTAAATCCTCCACAGTGGTCACCAGTTAGTCTCCAGCTGTCTCTGTGCTTTGCTGC